AAAAAGTCTCCAAAATTTAATTGTTTCACCTTTTACGAGCACTTGTACATCAGCGCGATGAAACATTTTTCCCCTTGGCGAGTATTCTTTCGCTATACGAGAGCAATAAACACACGAAAAGAAATGATAACAAACGCCGGATCATATTTTCAATTTCATTAATTTAATATTTTGATTGGACTACAATACGTGGAAGTGGCTAAATTGTATAGAATTGTGTAATGCCACCTTGGAGATTTGGATTGTGACCATACTATCCAGTGGGCAAAACAGGGAATGCGCCACTTCTCGCGAAACCACATCTCAAGAGACCTATATTTCCCAGCGCCATCAAGGCTGATTTTTAGGGTGAAGAGGAAAAGGGTTCAATGGTTCTTTCCATAATTGAATTAGATAAGTTTTTGTCGGTATTTTTGGCAAGATGTGCATTTTTTCATTAAACCCACTCTTCAACCCACTTTTTCACCAAGCAATTTTCTCACCCACAAAATCACGTGGCTCTTTGTTTACGATGCTGTCTCACCCTCTACGCCTGACCATTTGTACACCATGAGCCAAATGAGGAGATATGTATATTCCATCTCCAAGCAATAAACGCGCCAATTTGCCACTCTGGCTCTCACGCGCACTCTCACCCGCAGAATGTTCTCTTGTGTGATATTTTGCAAAATATTCTACAGGAAGTCGGGCCACAAGTGAGTGTCGAGCAGACAGCAGAGTCAGTTGGTGGCCTGAAATCAACTCTGGAGGTTGTACGAGGGGAATTTTCCACGCAGTGTTGATGAGGGAAAAGTTCTGAGCAATTCTAAAAGTGATATACATATGCAGCTTTTAATTGGCTAGCTTTTGTCCGTCAATCATACTAATTACTCAAGCAGTGTGAGTGGAAAAGTCCTGGAAAAGTGAGGTGATTTCACAATGAGTGCAACTAATTGAGTAGAGAAACCCCGGATATAGAATTTAATGTGTGTCTTCTTCAGTAAATTACTTCTGGGCGATACATTTGTATAAATTTATTAGATATCATCATATTAAATAAAACTGGCTTGTATTTGCCTTCAATACACACGTCTCATTCTTCGTGAAGGGGCAACAAGTGTTTCGCCAGAACTTACAGCACAGCTTCAATGGCAGAAAGACAAATTGGTGACAAAAGTGAAAAGAATTAATTGCAAAATTGGATTAATGGAAATCAAGTGAACAAATATGGTGTTTTATCGTTGACAGTGAAAACACAGTGAGACAGTTTCGTGGGGTTTTCCACTTGTTGAGAGACCGCACATAAAAATCCATCAACAGACAAGGACAAAGGTTGGTTTTTGACTCCTCGCGCCTTTCCAATTAATTAATAATGACTTCTCCTTCCGCTCCTTGCCAATTCTGTGCTGCATGCGTATTATCGCCACAGACAATCTAGGCATTTCTCCACACATTTAACTCATGAGCATAAATATACACACTCATGCAGTGCAATATAGCCAGAATGGGAGGCTTTTCAACCCTCGCAAACACATGTGCCCTGAATTATCTAAATAGAATTTGTTAATAATGAAAATATATTGCGAAAGAAATTCTATCAAACTTTTATGCTGAATGCGGAGATTGAGAAATCCAAGGAAAATCATTAATTTCAATACAATATAGTTAAGCAACCTATTGAATTGAGTTCTAACATCTCAAAGATAAATTTTAATACGTGTCATTAAAACGTTTTATACAGTAAATTCTACATGAAATGTATTAGACAATTATACAATGCAATTATGATTAGATTTAATGTTTCATTTATTCTCTTTTATTGTCATTTATGCACATTCTTTTATTTTCCCTCTTTTTAAAGCACCCAATTCATCAGATTTCCATTAAACAGTCCCATATTATCATAGAGAAAGAGTAAAGGTAAATATGTGATTTTCATGAGACATTAGGTAAATTTATCATAGCAATAGAGAAGTCTTGAAAGATGCAATTTAAGAATAAATGAAACTGTGTACAAATCATACGCAGTAAATTTCCAATAATAATGTGAAAAGATAAACTGCGAAATAAAAGTTTTCTGAAGAATTTCTCAATACATAATGCGTGTCAGACAATAGAAGTTCGCTTGTAAAATGTATTTAAACACATATTTTCTCAATATCGATCTTTCGAGACATTCTTTAATGTTAACTTCTTCGGAAATGAGGGTGAAATTATGCAAAGAATGCGAACATCAAGCAAAAAAAAATACTTCCAAGAAATGTGATTTAAGTTCTCAAAAGTAATTGATTGAATCATAAGCTCGGAAAAGTGATATTTCGACAGTTGATGGCCTTTTAATTGAATCAGAGGAAAAAGTTTAAACGCCTTTTTCTCCATCAGAGAAAATATTCATTACGAAAAACCATTCATCACTCGATTTTTTCCCCTCCATTTGCCATTCAATCTCGATGAACTGATGTGTCTCTGGCACTGGCTTTTGCCAAAAAGTGTCTACGCGAAACGGTGGCGGCGCTTTTTTCAAGTATTTTGGTCTAAACAGAAATACCGCTGGCTTTGCAATCAATAATTTGTGGAGACCAATAAAAAAATATTTTCCCTTTTGCAAAATGATTTGCAACAAAAGGAAACCATATTGATATTGTAAATTGCTTTGTGAGATGGTAAGAAGAAAAAAAAGGAGAAAAAGTGGGAGAAAATGCGTTCTATCTCGTGGAACTCTTCAATTTCTTCCACTTGGGTAAATAGTAAGACAGATTATTATTACACAGAAAAAACATTAAATGAGTGTGTGCTTGTGTTTAAGATGAAAGAATTAAAGCTAGACAGAGTAATTGTCATCATCCACGACATTACAAATTTATCATTCAATTTATTTGCACCCTTTTCTCTGTGCTTTCAGCAATTTTTTCCCTCTTTTCTGGAGTGGCGATAACGCCAGGACACACAATTGAATGGCTGGCAGCACGAGAGTCAAAGCCAAAAATGATGAGAGAAGTTTACTCAGAGAGTTCGTGGAATGTTCAATCATTTCCGCAACATTTGCATGCCTTTTTGTCGTTCTTCTCCCACTTTTTTATTCACAGTTCGAAGTGCTGTGAAGAATGATGGTGAAAATCTCATTTCCAAGAGACAAGAGATCGAGCAAAGAAATAGAAAAATCATGGAAATTTGCGAAAGCAAACTGCTGAAGATGACAAACAGATTTTCATTCGTAGATAAGAATATTGGCTATATACTATATCTTTTATCTGTAGTTCTAACTACTCTTCATCTTTCATCCTTTCGTGTCGAATACATTCCCATCGCATAAAATCACCATAAATATTCGGAATGTGTCTATTTGTCCTATTTTACATATTTCTATCAACAATGCAAAGCATGAAAAGTCAATGTGAAAGCTAATTGATGATTTTTCACGCACAAATTCTAATCCAACGCCAAATTTAATTACTGACACAATGATTTGTCAACTACTGTGCATAGACATAATTAACTTTGTGATTTGTGACGACATCAGAACGGCAGATAAGTGAATTATCGCTAGAATATTTAACATGATAAAAGATAGACGGATTTGTCTCGTCGAATCGTATTGAGAGTTTATCGGGAAATAAGTCACGAGGAGAGAAGAGGGAGAACTTGACTGTAGATTAGAATTAGAAATCGATAGTGATGAGCAGCATGATATAATGAATGGAAAGGGTCATAAAAGCGACAACAAGAGGATTGGCTTTTGTCCTGTTCACTCTTGAAAGGGTATGGATAAAAAAAAAAGTTATGCACACCCACGCAAATCCTCTGCACAGCACGCATGAAATTCAATCCACTTCCGTGGCTTTATTTGCCGAGCGGAACATGATGCTCCAGCATTTCGTCTAGGGGATTGGAAATTCCTTGGGAATCGTTCTCTGATTTTGAAGGCAACATACACATATAAAGAGAAATTCAAATTGCGCCTCGAATGGTGTTGAAAAATCCTGTTTGGCACCCAATGAGTCAATCTCGTGCCTAAACATACGCACTTTCGTAATCCCAAATGTCTCATAGGAAATATATATATATATATATCTATTTCCACGCTGAGCAAATATCAACCCCAAAAAAAGGAAGAGCGTGTATTTTTCCAGACAAAAATGTCACTCCATTGAGAAATAATATCACGTCTATCCTGTTAATCTTTGCCCCCAAACCACACCTTCGGGCAATTGTCTACCCTGGGAATCGTGTTACCGCAAACATAAAGATACATTTTTTATTGCAATTTGCTGAGAAGGTGGAAAAGAAAATCCCCATGGCTTCGTGAGTAGTTGCGGGAAAAGGTCACATTGGTACTCCTCATCCTCAGCAATGGCCAATTAATTGGAATCACCTTTCGGTATGTTGAGAGTATATCCCAGTTGAAATTCCACTCAAAACACCATTTATCAGAGACAAACTTTGGTGTTGGAAATCATCCGCAGTTTCACTTTTCACATTGCCAGAGAAAAACCCATTTGATAAATAAATGCCATAAGAGAAGACTTTGCAGAAGACTGACAATTGTTTGTTAAAGACTCGACATCGCAGATGTCATTAAACAAGTGAAAGAAAGATTTTCTCATTTGTCATTTGTCATCTGATAGAAAAGATTTAATTATATTTCAAATATATTCTATAATAAAATAGAAAAGTTTTTTTTTGATAAATTACAAGAATTCCCCTTGAAAACATTTTCTAGAGCGTAAAAAGACGATCCAATCTTGAGATAATGTCCCCAATCAAGGATAATGAGCGAGTGATTGCGTTGAAAGTGAAAGTTTCTCTGTTTAATTCCTTTTTCAGAGGACACCGGAGGACAATTCGCATAGTAAATGGTCAGAGAGAGTCGAGAGAGCAGCTCATTACCTTCAATTGAAATCCCAGAACACCCCGAGCGCCTAAGAGGTCTGCTGAGGCGGATTTAATCGGGATAATGGACTGCAATTGCTGCCACATTCCTTGTGCCATGAGCCCGGAAAACGACCGGAAATCACTTCAGCATGTGGACAGAAGCGGCTAGAGCGCCATCCGGCAATCTGTCGGACTGGAATCTCATGGAGAGCACATCACAGTCGACACAGCTTGAGGATGTGACCTTCGTGGTCAACGCCAGCTTCCTGGATGCCGATTTCATGCAGTACGAGCTCAACTGGCCGTACACGGCGCTTGAGATCCTCGTGGGACTCGTGGCGGTAATCGGGAATGGTATGGTGATCGCCGTGTTCCAGAAGGAGCGACGCCTGCGACGCAGAACGAATTACTACATTGTGTCCCTGGCGATTGCTGACTTCCTGGTGGGATTGCTCGGGATACCCTTCGCCGTGTTGGCGTCAATTGGACTGCCCACGAATCTGCACGCATGTCTCTTCACCATATCACTCCTGGTCGTCCTGTGCACCATCTCCATCTTCTGCCTCGTGGCCGTGTCCGTGGATCGATACTGGGCTATTCTGCATCCCATGGCATATTCCCGCAATGTCCGCACCAAAACTGCCATTTGTAAGTTCGTCATTTTTCTCTTGAATTCCCCCACAAAACACTCAATTAAATTGGCAGTGAATAACAGGTTAATTGAAACTCTCACAATTCCCTTCTAATTGCATTGAATACCTCCGTTGCTCCTCGTCATCATCAGTAACCAAAGCATGGCCTAATGAAACACTTGATATCATCGCACCGTTTATTTGAAGCCTTCTGATGAGCTTAGGTACTTCAGCGGATTACTTTCCGTGCCCCAAAAGAGGCCTTAGTTATACAAGGGAGTGCCCACTTTGCCCAATATCTCCAGACCCATCCTCATGTGTGATGGCGGAGAACAGACACTCACGGACCACGTGCCCGGCTAGCGTTCAGGGTTATTTGAATTGATGGAAAAAGCAAGTCAAATAATTCGATTGAACGCACAGACACTCGTGTTGATTCAACGGCATCCACATTAATTATTTGCCGCCCTTCTCCGCTCGTGACACCCACAATATCGAGTGGATGGTCGAGATTGAGAAGGCACACTCAGTGTTAACCCGTGCCGAAGGACTTTCAAAGCGAAGGGAAGAATATTGGCACAAAAGACACATTTTGTCCTTTTCATTGAAAAAATTAAATGAAAATTGAACAGTAGCAAAATACAGATGTGCAATGAGACGTTTCAAAACACCCGTGAATATCGCAATTCAATGACCATATAAAATGCAAATATTGCCACAACAGCAACCGTTTTACCTGATATGAAGAATTTTCACCTGTTTTGTGCGTAAATTCTTGATTGTATTGACTACAAATTGTATTTGCAAAATTAGCTTGAAATGAAAGGTCACAAAATGGTCGCATAATGGTTATCAAGATTATTTTTCCATCTTAAAGTGTAAAAAGCGGAATTACACTTTAAATCATACTTAAATTAATTCTTCATTTTCCTACAACAAACTAGATGTTCGAGGGGTTAAAAGCCACTTCGGAATTATCTCCTCCAGTATATGCTGAATTCTTACACTGGTCTGGCGGGAAATCCCTCTCGAGTGTTCTGTTTAATCACTCTCTGTTTATCGTCGAATCACGCATTTCTCTTCACGTGTTGCTCACACACTTTTGGCGCGCTTCTCACGCTCATCCGCCTCTCTTGCAGTGATAATCTCGATGTGTTGGGTCGCGGGCAGCATCGTGGGATTTCTACCGCTGTTCGGCTGGCATCAGGACCAGCCCGTGGAGACGGCGTGTCTGTTCGAGGGTGTCATGAGCTACGACTATCTCGTGTTCCTCTATTTCGGCACCATCATTACGCCCGCGATCATCCTCGTCGGCTTCTATGCGCACATCTACCGCGTGATTCTCAAGCAATTGCGCCAAATCGTCACGATGAACCCAGGCGGCGGCATCTCCAGCCGACGCTCCTCGTCGCGCAAGAGCACCTCGTCCAGCACACCAACTCTGCGCGCCGCCAATCGCACACCCTCCGGCGGCACGATGTTGCGCGTCTTAGGCGCGGCGCAGAAGCGCGAAGTCAAGGCAACGCAGAATCTCTCCATCATCGTCCTGTTCTTCATGATCTGCTGGATTCCATTGTACACGGTGAACTGCATCAAGGCCTTCTGCCAGGATTGCAACATCCCGCCCATGATGACGTTCATCTTCATCATCCTTTCGCACGTCAATTCCGCCGTCAATCCCATCTTGTACGCTTACCATCTGCGCGACTTCCGGGCGGCGCTTAAGAATCTACTGCTGAAGCTGGTGGGGCGCCACGAGACGCCCACGCGTGTTGAGGTGAACTATCGCTTCTCCCTGGCCAGCCAACACCGCGACAAGCGCCCTTCGATCCACCCGCGCATCTACATCGACTCGCCAGTTTGGCTAAGACAACAGCAGCTTCTCAATAGCGAGAGAAAAAGTAAGTAAACTCTTTCTTTACAAATTCGAGTTTAAGATCAGGGTATTTATACTTCCACTTTTCTTCTCGACAGCGCAGCGAAACGGCGCCGGAACAATCCAGAATAGCCTGACGAGCGTCCACCAAACCGTCGCCGCCGTGGCTTCCGTCACCGGCGACGCCAATCGCGAGATGTGGAGAATCGCCGAGGTGCCCAGCACAGCGGAAGAGACCAGTCGCTGCAACGAGAACTCCTTGGGCCACACGTCATTTCCAAGCTTCCACCTGGGCAGCGACAGTGAGGACTCGGGCTGTGGGAATCCACTTTCTGCCGGCGCTCCGGAAGACTGCGACAGCGACGACGACGTGTTCATGCCTCCGGGTGTCTTCTTCACCAGTATCGATGCGCGGGAAGCCGTTGAAATCGATGATTTCCCGCACCAAAGCTTCTCTACCGAGCTTCCATTCCACGAAGTCAGATCATACGAGGACTTGTCTGTTGCCCTCCACGGTCACTCGCGCGACACCACGCGGCGCACATCGACGGTATCTGAGGTTGAGGATGCGCAAATTTTCACCATAGATACGCATTTCGAGGATCCCCGAAAAATTCCAGAAGTGGGAAATTCACAGTTGGATGGAGAGATAATACGAGTTTTGAACACGAGAAAGAGATTTCCCTTCAGGAAGGCATTCTCAGACGCCTGAAGAGAAAATGCCGCGGAAAAACGCTTTAGGAATGTGTAGTTGTTGTCTCGAAAGCGATATTATTAATTATTGTGTGTGATTTTGTGAGAAAACCACGAAGAAATAGAGAAATTGTCGCAAATGATCCAGTTTTCGTCTCTCAAACATAATTGTGTGCATTACCTCAATTTATTGACTTCCTCGACGGTTTTCCTCAGTTTTTCCTCCGGAAGGGAATGATGGCTATGCAGTTTCGTCCTTCGGACATTCTCCACCATCTGCCCAGGCGATGTTCCTGACCTAAACCAGCTATCAAGTGATTCCCATCAGGCGTGAATGCCAATGCATTTACAAAGCCTGGAACTGGGATTTCCATGACTTGAACGCATTTCCTGAAGTTGGATTCTAACTTCCACACCCTTATGAATCCATCGCAAGATCCTGAAGCCACGAGATCGGTGTTTGTGAGCGTTGCTATGGCAGAAATCCAATTAGGCTCGCCATTTGTCTGGGATTTTCCGTGGACAAGATTCTTAATGCACAAGGGCTTCTTTTTCATGGTGCTCCAGACGCAGAGTGTGCTGAAAATTGGTGAAAGACATGCTGAAAATGGCTTCGAATCATCTAGAGACAGATTACTCACCCATCGTCGCCGCAAGAGAGGAAATTCTCCTCGTTTATAAGTCGGACGCTGTCAATGTTCCCACTGTGACCGTTGTAGACGAGTTGGGACTCTTCTGATACCTTCCAGATCCGAACACTGCAGTCATTTCCACCAGAAGAAATAGCCCTGTCCCTCGTGAGGGCGTCCAGGTCCGTTACAGTCGCCTGATGGCCGAACATCACCTCAATCTTGGCCATTTCGTCCAGCGACCAGACGACAATGGTTCGATCTTCACTCCCGGAATAGATTTCGTGGGTGTCCTTCCTCGACACCAGCGCAGTCACGGGCTTTCTGTGGCCACGGAGCACACCCAAGGAGGCCAAAGTGTCCGGTGAATAGATTCTGACGACAGCACTTCCGTCACCAACAGCCAAAAACTTCCCATCGCTGGTCATCGTAAGGCAAACTCCATGAACCTTTGTTTTCTTCTCCCCTCCATCTAGCAGATTGATCACACCCACCGGACGCCAGTCCTGAACGTTCCACTTAACAATCACCGGAGACTTGCTCCCGGAAAACATCGTCTTTCCATCTCTTGCCAGGCAAATACAAGTAATTGGCGCCTTCTGAGCCTTGTGCTTCAGCATCTGCAAATCGTCAACTCCCAGATAACTGCTCGCCACGAGTCGCCGAAGCTTCCCAACGCTGTCCAGATATTCATTTGCCAGTCTCTTATCTACGTTCACAGCAGAATTCGTCTCTTCAGCGCGCTTTTCCTCTTCCTTTTCAATCTCCTCGAGGTACTTCTTCGCCAGACGCAGGCGCTTCTCCTGAGGCGTCTCCACATCTTCATCTGATGACTCTCTGGTCGGGAAGTCCTCGTCATTGCTGAGAATTTCTTCGTCACTCTGGATTTCTTCGTCTTCGAACTTTTTCCTTTTCCCAGAGAATATTTGATCGGGTTTCGGAGCATTCTTCTTGAATTTCTCCTTGACTTTACCAGAAGTCTTCGCGTTAGGTTTTCCACGAATGAAAAAGGACATTTTCACAAGATCTCCTAGAGATTTTTCACAATTTCACAGATGTTTTGATTTTGAGAAAAACGCGTGTCAATATGTCAAACAACTTTATAACCTCACAAAGAGGGCGCGCAATCTGCCGGGTTGGGCTGCGTATATTCTCAACTGGCATGCTTGCATGCCAACATCTGTCAGTGCAAACCAAAACAAACACACAAAAGCTTAATTTTCCATCTTTTCCGCAGAATTTCCACCTCAAGTGCCTCAATGGGCAAACTGGAGCTGGGACAGACGCTGTCTGGGCACAAGGGACGTGTGTGGAACGCCGCCTGGCATCCGACGGGCAGCATTTTAGCCACTTGTGGCGAGGACAAGACGATCAGGATTTGGCAGCAGGAGGGCAGCAACCGGTGGGTGACCAAGACGATCCTCTCGGACGGCCACAACCGCACGATCAGGAGCGTGGCCTGGTCTCCCTGTGGACAGTACTTGGCAGCGGCAAGCTTCGACGCCACAGTGTCAATCTGGGACAAGAAGTCAGGGCAGTTTGAGTGCAATGCCACACTCGAGGGGCACGAGAATGAGGTGAAGAGCGTGGCCTGGTCAGTGTCTGGCCACCTCCTGTCTACGTGCAGCAGAGACAAGTCCGTGTGGGTGTGGGAAGTGTCCGAGGAGGACGATTTCGACTGCGCCGCAGTGCTTAATGCTCATACGCAGGACGTGAAGAAGGTAGTCTGGCATCCGCGCGAGGACGTCCTGGCCTCCGCCAGCTATGATAACACTGTGAAGCTGTTCAAGGAGGACCCCGCGGACAGCGACTGGATCTGCACGGCAACGCTGGCATCGCATTCCTCGACGGTCTGGAGTCTGGCGTTCTCAAGCGACGGCAAGCGCCTGGCGTCCTGCAGTGATGACCAGACCATCAAGATTTGGCAGTCGTACGCGCCAGGAAACGAAGAAGGCATCGCCACGCCGGACAACGAAGTGGTGTGGAAGTGTGTCTGCACACTGTCTGGCTTCCACACGCGCAGCATCTATGATCTGTCGTGGTGCCACTTGTCCGGCCTCCTGGCCAGTGCTTCGGGCGACGATAGCATTCGCGTGTTCCAGGAGGCGCCCGGGTGCGACAAGAACAGCCCCACGTTCGAACTCGCCGCTACGGAGGCGCGCGCTCATGCTCAGGACGTGAACACCGTGAGCTGGAATCCGACACAACGCGGTCTTCTCGTGTCCACGAGTGACGACGGTGACGTCAAGATATGGTGCTTCACCGAATAAACCCGTTTCCAAAGTCAAATAAACACAAGTTCTCAAACACACTCACGCAAATTGCAGATAATTCTTGACCCAAAGCATTTCTGTGGCTGTTTCGTGCCCTGAGAGCCTCTTGACGGTTTGGTCTTCAGTTGGTTCAGTGTGCGCTTCTGAGATGGATCTCAAGGTGTTCTTCTTGGCAGTGTTCCTCCTTTTCATCAACAGATTTCTTCTTGTTCACTCTGGTAATTTTACTGCGAACTTCACAGCACAAAGCACTGGACATTTTTTGCTTCAGCTTTTATCGCTAAAAGTGTTTTTGGTCACAGATTTATTTGCGTTGTCGAATTCAATGAATTCTAGACGTTTCGCGACATTCATTGGGAATGGAGACCAAGGATGAATGAAATTCACTGATAAAAAGCTTTTTTTTTTAATCTTCAGTCTGCTTGTTTTGTTCATCAAATCGGTCAAATTTATATGATTTGTAAAAATTATTGAAGTAAGGAATAAGTGTTAAGATCTCACAAAATGGAAAGGAGCAGATTATACAGCAGGGAATTGTCTCAAAAGCTTTGGATCATTGCGAAAAATGCGTGAAAAAAGTGATTATGGGCGACAATATCGTAAGTTTTCCGTGTTTCATCTTTTGCTTGAGGCCCAAATTATTGCCTGCGGATAGTTTGTAGTGTTCAGTGTTTTTGTGAAAGAGGTTTAAAACTTTTCATGGAGTTTTGTGGGTAATTAATCCTTAGGGAAGAACTCAAAGCTACACAAATAAAAATATATACCTACAAAAATCACAAATAAAAAGAAATAGTGCACGGATAAGCCGGATTCTTGTGCTTATCATTCTAGATGTATAATAGATGAAACATGGGTTCATTTAGTGTTTCTTTTTTTTTCCTAAAGAATATAAGAAAGAATCCTTTTTCCTCAGATAAGCCATCATGGGCTCATGGAGGGAATTCTCATGGAAACCAGCATGGAAATGCAGGAAATGCACACGGAAATCAACATGGGAATCCGCATGGAAATCCACATGTGATGGATGACGCGGATAGCATAGAGTCTTTCAGTTGTCCTGAGATTGTGACTAGGAAAAGATGGCAAGCTAGAGAGCCTCTTCACGTCTTCTACACAATTTTGCCACTTGAGTTCGTCATAGTCCATCACACAGTTACAAACACGTGCAATGCGCAGAGAAAGTGCGTTCCGATCGTGCAGAGCATCCAGAATTACCACATGGACGATCTCAAGTTCGATGACATCGGCTATAAGTAGAATAATTGCTCGTGCTTATAATTGGAGAATGTGACTAAGCTTTTACCGTTTTTCGCAGTTTCTTAATCGGTGGCGATGGAAGCGTCTTCGAGGGCGTCGGATGGCACAGAAGAGGTTCGCACACTTATGGCTACAACAGCCGATCCATCGGAATCGCCTTCATGGGCAACTATGAAAGTAAGAGAATACTCTGAAGGAGATCTGTGTATGTTAACTTCCTTCATTCTTCTTCAGATTATGCGCCCACGAGGAAAGCCGTTCAGGCGGCGAAGAATCTCATCGAGTGCGGCATCAGCAATTACGAACTCTCGAAGGACGTTAAGGTGTTCGGAGGAAGACAGGTGCAGAGTACAGCAAGTCCGGGGGAGAATCTCTTCGAGGACATGAAGAATTGGCCGCATTGGGCGGAAGTCTGAGCAGAAACTGACTGTTAAATGCATTATTTCTCTCTTATGCGAATAAAAACTCTCCAGTCGCTGCTTGTGTGTGTTGAAAGGGGGAAGGAATGTTTTCCACCTCAGCGGTTCTCCCTCAATCGACCATCCCTATTGGGTGGAGAAAGGTTGCACTCATAGAAAAGCGCATTTGGTAAACATTTTAAGCAATCTTCTTCTAAGAAACTGATGTAAATAAGATTACATCTTATAGATTTTTTTAAATCAGCGAAGCTTCCAAGTAAGAGTGCAATATTAAAAATAATTTGTATTTGACGTATTTCAACATAAAAAAAGTTCGTGTGTTTAAAAGGTTTAAATATATGAAATATTCAATATTCTCAATAACATATTTACAAAAATTTCTAGAAATCAACAGAAATTTAGACCCAGAACATAATACAATCAAGATCTTCTTTGATTATGCTTAATTGACATAAACATTTATGCAAATGTTTATGCAAATGTTTATCCCATCCATGCTTCTTTTGCGTGCTCAAACTACCCTTCAGCACAATTTTCTTGAGTGCAGTTCTGCGATGTGGAAAAAGGGGAGAATTTGAGCGAAACGGCGCAATTCGTTGTCAGTCTCGGTAGCACTTTGGTTGAGTTTGGGTGTGAATTTCATCCACCAATGCCAAAAGGGGAAATTTTTCCAATTTTCTCTGGTCAGTGAAAAATTTTCCACCAAGTGTTCTGACTGAAAATCCCCCCAAAAAAGTGAGTGCAATTTACATTGAAAAGCGAATCAGTGAGGGATTTTATCCATTTAGTGATGAATAGGCAGGAAAAAAGTGTTTAAGGAAATTTTTGCGTGTAAGAAGCAAAGAAAAAGAAAATCCTGAAACGCGGCAAGGTTGGATTTTCCGCTTTCGGCAGAGAATGAGGACAACCATAATCTGCGATCCGGCCATTTTGAAGACATCGCAAGTGAATGAGCAGCAAATGGAAAATCGTGAAAATCGTTACGCGAAGCGAAAACGCACAGAAATCGATCCACCGATGGATGGGAGTGATTTTCAGCAGCCGGTCAAGTGCATGAGGACGTACATGGGCAATTTGTACAGTCATCAGGAGCATCAATACGAATTCGTCAATGTAATGTTCGACAGCAACCTCTTGCCTGTGCAAAATCCCATAATTTCCGAGGCGAACGCTGCTAATTTGGCAGAATTCTCGGCCAATTGGAGCACGAACGATCTGCTTGACCTGGACCAGAAGACCACGTCCGGCACCTACTCTCAGCAGCCACACATGGACACCTTCACGTCGGATCCTGGCCAGAGACCCGCCAAGATCGCCGTGAGCAGCGAGCCGAGTAATCGTGAGTTCTTTGCCCTTCTTTTAGTAAATAAGGTGAAATTACCGCATAAAATCAAGTTCAAAATTATTAGGGATTTTTCTATAGCAACAAACCTCCATCGTCTTGTTTGTAAACACGAGAGTGAAACAAGGAGGAAAAAGTTACAATTCACTCCACATTTCACTTCCTCTCTAATTGATTGGCCTTTGGCATCTAACTTGCGATTTTCTCGGGCACAGATATGACCTCCGAGGATCTCGAAGATAAGAACTTATCGTGGCTGTTCAACTTCAAACTTGACGAGTTGCCGCACTTGTCGCCAGAGGTTAACAGGAGCGCCTCCGTCACGACGCCGCGCAGTCACTCGACGAAGAAGATCGACGAGATCATTCAAGAGGCAACAGCAGGAATTGATGATGATGAATTGAATGTTGCGGAAAATGTCATTGTGGAGAATCCCAACAGAATGTTAGTACGAATTTCTAAATTTTCTGTTCTCCAGCATTGCTCTGAAGTCTGAATCACTCTGAATCCATTTATTAACTACAGCCAAAAGAAGCCGCCCTTCACCTACACCGAACTCATTGAGTACGCTCTGGAGGATAGAGGAGAGTTGACAGTGTCCGGCATTTATCAATGGATCTCGTAAGTTTGCACATTTCCACGTTCTTATTTCGTAAATTTCCGCTCGAAAGAACCCAAATTTAGAAAACACGACTTAAAGAGACACAAAAAAACCAGAGAATCAAGCTTTTCTACTTTTTCTGTTATATTGAAACCCCCACACAAAATACTTCTATATGTAATTCCATTGAGTTCTTTTTCCTGTTTTTAAAGGAATATTTACACAAAAGAAAAAAAACAGGAAAACCGAAAATGCGATCTTAGGCGTAGACAATGAAATAAACTCCTTTATGATGCATCGATTTACGAGATTAATGTACACATGACAATCAGAGAATATTCACGAGAAAGTCGCTTGTTACATTCATTGTCTATTGCATGTCTTATGATGACATGAGATTTTCTTATGAAATTCATATTAATTTTCATAGGACATCGCTATATATCCATTAAAATACTTGCTTTCAGCAATAATAAAATAAATATATATCAATGTAGATTTGCTTTTCTCGCCCGGAAAGCTCTCTAAAATACATATTTTTCATGTGAAATGCCTGTGGAACGGCAGAAATATGGGTGAAAGAGATTGGAAAATCCCCTCGCGCGCACATACAGCAAATAGCATTTGGCCAAAAATGTAATTTACCAACTCTTGTCACGGTGTCTGTCGTGCACAGGTTCCACCCCATCAGCCGCCCATTCGACAGAGTCGCGGGGGTGGAAATAGTGCAGCAATTGACAATTTATTTATAGACACGAGTCTCGCGCACACAAAAAAGCCATTTCCACTCTGGCTCCCCATCGCACAACTTTGGATTTCGACCAGGAATCCTCCTTTTTTCCGCTCGGCCAAGGGGTGGGCGCTCACGGGGTGGGTGGAGAATGAATAATCGACAAAATTTGAATTCAAATTCGATTGCGTGTCGCTCTCAAACCACAATCGTTTGAAGCATCAACCTGTCCAAGTGACTGTCTGCATACATTCGCTCTCGGCCCGAAAATGCGATTGTCAATTTAGCTGGGGTGCCTCGAGGCGCACCCGCCGTTTTTTGCCCACAATTCCCAGGCCAACTTTTTCACGGGTCACTGAGGGTCTCAATTTCAAATCCGACTTCACCCCCCGCGCCAGAGGGCGTTTCGCATGAGTGGGCACGTCCAGCTGAAGCGCAGGGGTGGAGAAAATGACCGGAAATACGCGTTTAATGCTTAAACCCGTTGGCGATTGGAATCTCTCACCTGAACACAATTTGGCGCATCAGTGAGCATGCACAATTAGGGGTGGAAAAGACTCTTAACCACCCTTTCGTTGCCTGTTCCCCAAGAAACTCCACACGAAATCCTCCCGAAAAGAAACTGATTGTCTTATGTTTGCTCATTCAGCCCGACTTTTCATGTATCACGGCCGAGTATGCTTTTTGTCTTGTGGGAAAAAAGCCGCGATGGTACACATTCGAATGAGCCGCGAATAGACATGGAAAGAGGGAGTGAAAGGGTGAAAAAGGTAAATACCTCATGTAAACGTTTTCAATTACATTAAATCGTGTGTTCCTTTTGAGGCTCTTTCCACTGACTGACAACACTAATATTAGCATTAAAAATTACCTTCTGCGCTTTCAGGCGAAGTTAATTGGTGTATTTTGCGAATTAACAGACAATAACATGTGATATGTTCATTGAAATTGGTTGATAAGCGCAAAATTTTGGAAAGAATCATATGAAAGTAAATCGAAGCAAAAAAAAACTTTTCTCTTTAATTGGAGACGCAAAAATTCGGTGAAAGGTGGATTTTTCCACCCTCATTTTCCTTCTCTTTCTCTCTGCTTTTTTTATATTCCTTTGTGGGTATAATGACCATAAATACATTACGGCTAATCTTCCACTTCGATTGGTGGGTGCAACGACACTCCCACCCCTCCGCTCGCCCACCCTCAATGGCCACCCCCTCGATGTACACGGCTTTTCCGTGAAGACATTGCCGAAGGAGACATAAATTGACTCAATCCGAAATGACACGCCACAATTTTCCAGCGTTCTCGTCCCGCGATGGGGCTCTTCTTTGGGGTGGTGGACTCGCAGGGGGTTGGGGTTCGAGGACAATCTCATTTTGGGCTGCGAAGTGGGAGAAAAGTCGCTCGATTCAGTCCATTTTCTCCGTCTTCGTGCTTTATTCGCCTGCGCACCAAAGTTGAAGATATTACTTTTTCTCTAGATACAGAATAATCTGGGCTAAAAGTCCTTCAAAACATGCGATAACTTTCCCCACAGATTTCCATCGGAGCAAGTCTGTTTTAAAGCAACAAAAGCTTTTGATGTAGGACATCAATGAATTTACTGCGAAGTCCTCGTGTATCTTTTTGCCTATCTTTCTGTAATTCTAATCTAATAAAATAAAAATAATTTAAAAATACGATATTGTTGAATTAAAAAAAAATGTCTTGAGAAAACAACGTAAACGCACAATTAGTACGTCAATTCTCGCAACACAAAAGTGAATGAAATCTTTAAACACTGACCAGTTTAATTTTAAAAGCTTTCTAATCCAAACCCAACAGCAAATCTCAACTCTGATCTTCCACCCTAAAAAGAAATTCTGTGAGTGTGCAAGAAATAAAAGTGGGAAAGCCATTCCGTCCCTGCTTTTGGTATTCACAACAATAAACTCATGCGCCTCTAATGAGTCCTGAAAGCGGAAATTCCACCCTCGTTTCGGTGCTGGGGGGAAAATTTTATAATTTATTAACTGTCCGCGAGGAAAATGGTGGAAGTTCCATTTAATTTGTCCACGAAACGGTGGACTGGGTGGTGGCCAAAGAGGGCGGAACGCGATGGCCGTCGCGAGTGCGCACGTCGCGACGCTCCTTTCGTCAAATTCTCTCTTTCTCCCCGCCTCTTCGCAGGGACCGCTTTCCCTACTACAAGAGCAACGACGACCGCTGGAAGAACTCCGTGCGCCACAACTTGTCCATCAATCCGCACTTCCGCAAGGGCAGCAAGGCGCCCCAGGGCGCCGGGCACCTATGGACCATCTCTTCCAGGGACTCGGAGGCCAACAATCTGGCGTGGGAGCACGTAAGACGACCATTTTTCAGAATGCATGCTTGAATTTTTCGCTGCCATGAGTAATTTTGTACATGCCAGATTTTTTTACCATCTATTTCTCTGTATTTGCAGAAAAAACAACGTTTAGAGCTCTTTTTCAAGATGGAAGCCGCTCACTCGCCGGCCATTGTGAGGAGAGAAGTGGACGCGGTCTTTGACGAAACAGCGGCGGCAACAGCGAGCATCCTGTCGCATCAGGAGCGCCAGTCGCCGGAAAATCACCCCCCAACGACACCTTCTGATGCCATGGCGACGTTCTACACCCCACAGGACACACATCAGCTGCCCTATGACGTGGCGGACTCCTCGGATGACCTACGTCGAGTGGCAGGGGAGATTCTGAATGGCGTGAGGCGCAACGTTGAGGTGCAAATTGTGCATCCGGGCGACTCATTCGCCATTGACTCCACAGGAGATTATCTAAATCCCCTGTCCAAGGATGAGATTGTTCAAGAGAGCGGTCTGCGCTCAATGGTGACACGAGGCAACGACCTCGGCAATGACTATTTCGTCACTGAGATCGATCCAATCGAGTTGGGCATCAACATGACGACCAATGGAGAGGAAGAAGTCCTGTTTGGGGACGATTTCAATCTCAACTACTTTGGCATCGGGACGGGAAGCAATATTGTTGCTTGACAGAAGACTTAGATTATCTTTCTCCCAATGAAACACTCCCATTTATTATACTAGCTGGCAAAAACTTAGCATTTCCAAGATGGCTTCTTCTCTCCTCCTCAAAAGCGTGCCCAGAATCCTGCGCCTTCCGCCCGGCGCACGCGCCCTATCTAGTCAAGAGTACAGAAACTGTGTTGAGAGATGTAGGGTTTAATGGGGTAGATTTGCTTTCAGAACAATTTTCGGATCTCTCTCCACACATTCCGTATCTCAGTGTATTCCTATAATATGATATGTCATGCGGTGTACTGTATAGGCAATAGAGGATGGATGTAGTGAGGAAAATAACATGAGATTTTGTACTTGAAAGATGTAAGAATTATCTCAATTAAATGAATTTCACACTTTCAGAGAATTTTCACTTAGATTAATGCATAATAATTATATCTTTTACCAAAATTACGTATCAATCGATGCCAATATCTAAATATTTCTTATAGTTTTTTTTTGTCTTTTAGAGCTTTACGGCCAGAGGCATTTTTGCCCATATGGCAAATTTCTTATAGTTGAAAATACTTTCGCTCATATGTAAGGATGTAAAGTATGTATTTATTTTCATTTTTCTACGTAGAAAATTCATTGCGTATAAATTTAGCTCTGCTCGTATCGCCATCTGCACGACGACACTTCAGAAACGTCACTAAACAAAACAAACCGCATTGATTTTCTCACTTATGTGTTAAATTTTGTTTTAACCAAGGAATATTCGCTGTTTTACAGCGAAAGTGCATGAGGATGGCTCTCCTGGATGATTTTGTTGGGAATCTGCTGGAGACTGTGACTGGACAGAAGGAGAAAGGCTGGAATCTGGTGGTGATGAGGAAGCCCACTGAGAAGCTTCTGTGTGGAGACTTTTCCTTTCCCACAGACTTTCGGATATGGCGAAAGTGTCTTCAGATCCGGGATGACTTCTCAGGAGACATCTTCGCATATCGCAGAGTGTCGCCAGAGGAAATTGTGCAGAAGAGCGCGGATGCAGGTTGGAGTCTTCCGGTTGAAAAGGTAGAAGTGCTGAAAAATCGCTGTGTTATCTTTCTAAACAGGAGTGAGACCTTCAAGAGGGTCATCAAGCACACTCTGGAGTCAGATCTGGAATTCCCAGTGAAGGAAGGAAAGAAAACTATATTCTTAGAGGAGATTCAGGAAGCTTCGGACACTCTAACGGACTATCGAGGGATTTTGCTAAGAGATGTCTTCTCCAATCTTTTGAAGAGGTCCCGGAAATTCACACAAGTGCTTGATAGAACAAATGCAGACATTTCCTACGTTATCACCAGCAAGAGTTCAGCAGAAGTAATTCCTGGAATGAAGAGAATTCTGCCCGGAGTAGTTTTAGACGCCAAAACAGGCAAAAAGTCCTCCTCAGTCGCCTGGACGCAGTGCCTGGAAGAGAAGGTGAGGGAGTGTGAACTGGTGGCCAGACACAGATATGGCTTCCGAGGACCAGGAGATTCACAGTTTGAGAACCTTGGCAGAGCGACTCTGTGTCTTGAGATGCTGGAGGCAAAGCCCACGAGTCCAGTAGCTTTTGGTGGGTCTTCCAGTCGCGGCGGAGCGTTCATTCTTTATAATTCTGCGCGAATGGAGACTCTTCTGGAGACTTTCAAAGCTAGAAACTTCCCGGAAGCACCAAAGCTGGAAGATGTCGACTTTGGCATGCTGTCTGAATCTGAAGAATGGGTGATTTTACTAAATTTCATCATTGGCGAGGAGTGGATGATCGAGAAAAGCCTTTGTGAGTTGGAATTAGGACGGATCAGTCCTCATCTCGTCTGTTCCTTCCTCCAGAGTCTGGTCACAGTCTTCAGTGCCTATTATCGTCGCGTTCAAATTCTCACAGTAAGCATAAGAAAATTCTCTTTACGTCTGTTTATCAATTTTCTTCTATTGTTTTCTACGTGTCTTAAGTTCTCTTCCTTATCTTATCGAAAATACTTAGTCTTGCATGTTTGTTCATAGTTAAAGAAGTAAAACTAAGATTTGGCATTGCAGGACAATCGCCAGCATCTGCTGACCACCATCCACGCACGGATTGTTCTTTTGCGAGCTCTCCGGAAGGTCTTCAATCGCACCTTGGCTGTTTTAAATATTTCCCCCGTAGCAAAAATGTGACTGTATGCCTTTTTGTAACTTGTTCTGTTACAAAATGCCAATAAACGTATGAAACTCAGAGAAAAACTTTGAAAAACCGCATTTTTTAACATTTCAGTGATGCAATTACAAATTTTACATATAGTGTAATTGAATAAAAATCAACAAATGATATGATACAATAAACATTTCAGGATACCAATTGCTATAAAAAAGGAGCCACGTCAAACGAATACATATAAATTTATTTCTGCTTTGTATTGTGCGTATTGCGTATAGGAAAATTAAGATAAATAGCTCAAAATGTGTTTATTCATGTTGTGCTGCAAATTTCTCTGTTCAGCTAGCAACAGTGGAAATAAATTAATAGATATAATAGCCATTAAATAGGATATGAAATGTAAGGTGCGTAAAAAATAATTTAGGATCCATTTACAGGTATTTATAGTGAAATAAAGTTGATGTAAATTACATTTACTTTTCGGATATTGAACATGTAAAATCGGTTCAGCTGGGATGTTTTCGTTTCGTCCTCTTCTTGCATCGACATTCTGCGCCGTTGGTGTGAGTGAGATGAAGAGTGTGTTGCGTAGGAAAACCGCCAAGTGGCGCTGCTGCGTTCGCGAGAGGGGAAGACTTGTTGGCAACTTCATGTAGCTCGTGACAGCGGAGCGCCATCGCAGTGTTTTTGCAGAGTGGGTCTTTTAGTTTTGAGTTTGCCTTTGTGACAAGAAGTTGGAAGAGAAAACCGATATAGAAAGAGTCCCTCGCTCAATCATCGAACAAATAAGCCAAATATCACACTCCGATCGTACGCCAGATTTGCTTGATTGCAAGAAATCGCGAGACCGAGTTTTGCCGCACGATTTTGTCCACCGAAGAGCGTTTTGCGTTGAATATCGAGTGTGTTTTGTTCGCCGAGTGACGCGTCGTCCATTGAGAAGTCTTGAAGAGTATTTTTCTACCCAAGTCGCGACGTGCAGCTGAATTTTCTTCTGGCCAGGAGCCCCACAAGGAGAGTCGCCTTCAGACAACGCCGAGTCGCGCCCCCTTAAAACAGAGAGATAAAGTGTGTTGTGTCGCGCGCGTTCAAACATCCGTGAGAGTCGTGAAAGTTAAAGAGTCCCCAAAATATCTGCCTTTTTCTCACCTCCGTGGCCACTGAGACACCCTGTTAAACACCCCCCGAATCAGCACCCGATCCGCTCTAAAATCAAGTGATTTCTCGAGGGTTTTGTGAGTTCGCCACATCACAGAAAGAAGCAAGAGAAAAAAGTGAAGTTTATCCACGAAATCCACGCGAAAATGAGCATCGATGCATTACTAAAGGCTGCTGAGTACTTGGATAGACGCGAGAGAGGTAAAAAACGTCCGGAAAGCGCGTCTTTGTTCGCGCGACGACCCTCCGGCCGGTCTGGAAGGGGTCCGGGTGAGTGTGTCACAGAAAGCGAGCCGAAAATGCCAACTTACATGCGAACAAGATGTGAATTTGCCAAGTGTTTCTCTTCCGATAAGAAAGCATCTGATAAGAGTTCAAAAGTGATAGTTTTCCGATCTTCTAACAAGAAAACTATTGAAGATTTTGTGTGGAAATTGAATTAGAGAAATAAACTTTATGAAAACAACATAAAGCTAAACACTCTTTTTTGGATGATTTGCTGGCAAAAAGCGATTTTCAAATATATATCTTTAAAAAAAATTCAAGATATCTTGTATTTTTTACCGAGTGCACAATCATAACAATGAACATGTCAGCATAAATCGCATAAATACATGCAAAAGTGGTTTTATGAACACAAATGTGTACTAAATCTCGTGACTAAATACAACAAGCTTGTCTGTAGGTTTAAGTTCTACGCTTAAACTACTCAAAGAAACTTGCGAATGAAAATTAAACTGATCGGGAGACAAACAATTGGTCAAAATTGCATGTTTTCTGCTCACAATGAGTTCTTTCACTTTTGGTGCTATTTGTAATTATTGAATTGGATTCGGTGAAACCGATTTTCGTAGATTTCATGAAAAAAAATTCACCAAAACTTTGGCTAAAACTCAATTTTCACTGTACCAAAGTACCAAAAGTTGTCAAAAATATGGAAATTGAGGCATAAACCGAGCACGACTGCTTTTACTCCAAATCTCGTGTTCTTTCACTAACTTCCTCACAGAATATGCAATGAGATTGAATAAGAAAAAAATCTATGTTTCAACTGAAATTCCTTCCGTGGAAAAATGTTTAGGATAGAAACAAAAAAAAGACCAATTAAGATAGTTTACTAGATCACTTGGAAAGTTCTAACTCAATTCGGTTTGTTGCACCCTTCTTTACCGTCACAATGATTTCATTAATAATATTTTAAACGGAGAACATACATATGTCATTTGTACACTTACAAAGGCTGACTTTTTAGATCGATAAATTGTTTCTCTGTTGGTTACATTTTGCTCATTCTCTGGTCTTTTTTTTATGATCAATATAAGAAATCAATTTACAAACCACGTGCAGTTCGATCTAAAAATACATTAAGTGCTGACCAAAGAGATCATTTGATGGCAATTAAGTTGCTATCAAACAGCCAAACTAATAAAAAGATCAAACACTCAATAGATCTATAAAATTTCACTTATTTTGCTATTTTGCATTGATTACATAACCGAACCGCGAATGCCTGTCTGTGTCACATTTCACATGCAGAAAAAAAGAAAGAAAAAAAGATAAACACGTGAATTCGCGCAAAAAATCGTCCCTTTAAAAGGTTAAGAAGAAATACAATCCAATGTTGTTGAAACAGAGTTGAATCAACCACAAGAGACGAGCTCAAATTCACGTCGCTTCAGATGATTTGCTTATGGAGTTTTGTTTCTTTCTTTTTTATGTAATAATTTTCACTATCTTATCAGTTGTGAATGAGGGGAAAAATAGAGAGAAGAGACACAAACATTGAATAACAGACTGCGAGATTGTGGTGGAGAGAAAAACAGCACAAGAGAGTCAATGCGTGGGTTTTAAAATAATCATAATCACTTAAAGAGTCTCTGAGGGTTTGTGTTCGTCTCTCTTCTCTCGTTCCTTCCCTTCCACGTATGTTTAACGATCAATTGTCTAATTTGTTCTTCGTTCTCTCTCTCTCCCTCACTCTCTCTGTCTCTCGCCACGGTTCACAGAGCAAGAGCATGGCTATGCATCGAGCCTTCCGATGCCAGACAAAACCAATAGAAATTCCAGCAACAGGAAGGCCAAGTCGAAGAAGTCATCAGGGAACCGGTAAGCATTTTTTTCCTCCTTTTACCTCAGACTCTCTTTTGTTCTGCCGTGGAGAGAATGGCATAAATTAGGGAATTTTACAGTCACTTACGTGTCTTTTTTTTCTGCTGTTTGCTGTTGTTATACATGTGGGTGAGCAGAGAGAAAAAAAAAGAATTTCACATGACACTCCTTATATTGAACATGTTCACGGTAGAACCGCCGCCATTCACGGGGCCTCTCTCTCTCTCTGTCTGTCACTATCTGGGGAAATTTATCTGGGGGACTTTGGGGGGGAATTGTGTTTGCAGAGAAATTGAAAAGAAAGCACTTTGTGCGGTGCTCTTCAAGGTTTGATAAGAGAATGACTTCTATTATGTAATTTTTGGCTTGATTGACTAAATGGGAGGGAAATGGCAGGAAAAAGTGTGGGCCTCAACTTTTCAAGTAATACATATTTTGTATAAGTGTGATTTACTGGAATTCTGTTAGACAGCGTCCACAGGAATCCATAAATTAACACTGCATGACGTGAAATGACGTGATGATGGTGATTTGTTTAAAACAGTCCTTCTGTTCCGTAAACAAATGTCGTATAACGCACTTAAACTACTTTTCACGAGGTGAATTTTAGGTTATGCCTCAAATATTGCAGAATAAACAATTCTCGTTTATGTAATGTATGGAAATTTTCGAGATACGATATTGATAGTTAAAACTGTTTAAGCAAAACGTACATGTTAATCTTAAATACTTTCATAATCTCTGAACTAACACTTTATAGTAATATTCCGTGTGAATAATGAAACACTGAGTCTCTAGAATTCTGTGTCAATTCTTCAGATTGATGATTTTTTAGACGATCTTCTGCAATTCAAGATCTATTTTATTGGAGATTCCTTCTCCTTTAGTATATTTATCAAAGGGAGGTTGATTCTTTTAAAAACTTTGTTTGAAAGAGACGATAATACCTGGACACATCGTAACTATATAGAATACATGTATAGATATAGTTCAAAAAATTATTTCCCTACTCTTCATTTGGTAAACACAGGCGCAGTATTGTCTTCACTTGAGTAACTTTGGCAGATAAGAATATGCAAATACGAGATTACTGACACTGAAAATCCATGTCTGACCTCTTTTCATGCAACTAACTTTAAAATGTGCGTTGATACAATAAAATAATGGTGAAAAATACTGTGTCTCACTGTAGGTAATTAACAGTTAATTAGGAAACGAAGTCATTTATGTATCGTGTTTATGTCTATTATAGTTAAATGTCACACAGATTAGTATATGATCTCGAAAAGATGAACATTGACGGTGATTTTACCCAGAACATACTGACATTTTTCCCACTATATGTTCACAAATACATATTTGTATGAGAAGAGTAGCAAGACAGAGGCGAAGGCAGTAAATACAATCATACAGCATTATTATAATAAATATTGTTATTTGCCACGGAGTAATGAACGCCAAACACTTGTACTCTGGGTGTACAGAGATTTATATTACACTGTATGCAGTGGAAGGGAGATAAATTAAATGTTGGAAACGTGATTAAAATTTGTGGAATTTTCACTGCAAGGAGTTTCATATAGCAATGCAGATAAAATTCTAGTGAAAAAAAATTGTTTTGCAGACACATTCATGCTAACATAGCATCATGCTTCAATTGCCATTCAATATTATGATAACATATATGAGTCGACAGCAAGTCTAGTCGATTCATTATCAATTTCTTTGCAAAAATTGAAGTGAACATTATCATTTGCTATTTTCATTTCATTCTTACACACACTTTTTTTTTCATTTGCTCTACCAAACAAACACGCACAACCACCATGATAACAATAGTCACGCCATTTTTCATCAAATACAGCTTTTACAAGAGTGAGAGAGTGAAAAAACGCAACCAATACACATATAAAAAAAGTGTTTGCCGTTTAATTTTTTCCCCACAAGTTAAATTGCAAAATAAGTGGTGTTACGTATAATATTGTTGTTATTTTTTGGCTGTGCAGAGTGAGAGGAATTCCATTCGAGCTGTTTGTCAATTTGAGCAAATGGCACCGCAGAAATAGAGATGTGTGCTCATCAGAGTTATTTTCAATAAATTGCAGAGAAAAATGGTGTGTATGGAAAATCAATGATGGAAACTGTGTAAATAGTTTTGCAGGCGTGCGCGTCGTGGCAGACAAAATTTGTATGACAAACGCTTATCAGAAATGCCCAACAACAACCTTCACAAGGTCTTTTCCCTCCTCGCGCCACATCGGTCAACATTGAGAATGTGTGTCGTGAATTTCCTCCAGCCCGCGATGCACATTTATTGCTCTTTTTATTTATTTTTTTTTTACCACTTCCCAACATTTCACAATTACACACTGTTTTATCTCACCTTATAAATTGGAAATAGTCTGTTTTTGGGTACATTTTTCACTTTCTTGCCCTCCCCCCACCCTTTCCAACAGCTCATAAATTACCACAATTTATCACTTAATTTTCTTCTTCTTCTACACCACCAAACTGGCCCCATGTTCAACACCCAAATTGCTTCCTTGCGCGTGTTTTGCATTTACAGGTAAACACTTTGTGTGGCTGAAAATAAAGCACAGCCAGTGAGAAAGACACTAAACACTCTGCCGTACACAATATCGCCGCGCACTCCCCAGCAAATAAATATTGAACAATTCTTATCAGTAACCATATTGGAAGTTATTTCCAAAGAGTCAACAAAAGCGTTTGCCACAGACAAAACCAGGTGCAAATTGATGGCTAGAGATGACTTATAATTGCTTCGAGAGATGCAATCAATCGTCCATTCACCGGCAATATTGCATGGAAATGGCGAGATTGTGACAAAGACTTTTCCGATGACATACAATCAAAAACGATTTATTTGATTTTCACATTTCAAAATCATAAAGAAATGTTAAATGAAGAGTTGTATAAAAACCATTCATACTATTGAGAATCAAGACACGATGATTTGTTTGCACAGAAAAGGAATTTTATGTCAATTATTTTAAAAGGATAGAAACAGAACTGAAATCAGAAATTTGATATGTAAGAACAATCTGACTTTAGAAGTAGAAGTGAGTTTTCAAATTAACACTGAAAGCAACATGTTATTTGTCAAAAGGCTGACTAATAATAAGGCTTTTACTTTCACACATTCCTTACAATGAACAACAAAGAAGAACTTTCGCTGAAAAGATGATTTTCTGGGAAGGGTGCCGTCAGTCAGACTGCAATCAGGCCCAACACATGAACAACTGTGAAGGAGTTTTATTGGTGTTCATCCTTTCCATTCTTTTTTCCTTATAACCTTTGATCTCTGTTTGAAATTTTTGGAGTTTATGAAAAACATGAATAGGCAATTGTATAATTGTTCTAACCTCTATTTTGCCCTCCATTGCACTCTCACGTGAGAGTAAATGTATTTTTCAATCTCTAAGAGATAAGAACCTCAACATTGGGGTTTCAATCCATGAAACGGCACAGAGCAGAAGTGACTCAATACGCTTCAATACAGTACATGTATGTGGTATTGTGTAAAAATAGATGGAGATATGGTATTTATGTGGAATAAATGAATTTAATCGTGGTGCTCAATATCCAGTGAATTGTGTGTTGATGGAAAAATGGAAAAAGCAAAGAAGTGAGAGAAGGAGAGAGAAGAATGTGTGTGACAAGGGAAATATACAGTGAAGTGTAGAAGCGATGGAGAACATGAAATTCACCGTCTCTTTTGAAGATACACTTCTTGTTGATGTGTTGCTTCCACTGATGATTTTCTACAGTTTATCTCTTGGGTTTCGCAGAGTAACTTTGTTTGTGTGTGTGTGAATAGAATCGACTTTGGCCTTTTCTTTCTAGTGATTTTCATTCAACTCATAGTTCGCAATCTCTTGCTCGGCACTGTTGTTATTCATTTCGAGTCTTCTTATAGACGAGAAATAGAGAAGACGCACACGCACACACAACACGCAAACACACAGTGAAGTGCTTTGGAGAAAAAGTTCACATTGTCACATATGATTAGTAATAACAAAATAGTGAAACGAGTATTTCTTGCCAAGTATGTAAAAGTCAAGTTACTCTATATACACTTTTGTACAGTTTTCGCGTAAGAAATGGCGAGTGCGAGCTTTGATGAGAGTTAAATTGCCTGTTTTGCTGTGACAACATCACGTCTCATGGGGAAGAGATGAAGGTGATGCTTTGTCATTAGGCTGATAAATTTCTCGACAAAACCCATATATCTTGTCGTATCTGATAGTTTCTTATGTTACTTTTTTTTTGTATTCCGCAATGGAAAAATTGGCAATCACTGAATTGCATTGGAAATTCAATATATGTATATGAAAGAACGATTGAAGGGGACACAAAGTGATTAGATGCCGAATGAGAAGAGTGAAGCTGAAGTGAAGGCAGAAATATGCACATTTCCAAAGTATTGCGATCTCTGTGGAGAAAATTGATCCGCATATGCAATTTGGTTTTTTGCCGTGTGCGCACGGAAAAATCCCCAATCATAAATATAAATCACACATAGTCCCATCCATTGCATTTAAGCATGTGAATGGCAAATGTTTGTGCGAGTGTGTAGTTGAAAAAAAATAAATATAGCATAAAAATTGACATATGTGAGTTAAAACATTTGCGAAATCCTATATGGACAGAGAAATTGAAATTGCAAATTGATTCACCACTCAATTCAAAATACCCATCTCGAGAAATATGTGGAAAATGTGTGGCGTGAGACTGAAATTGAACACAGAAAAACGACGTGGAGGACTTTGAGGGAGAGAAAATTTCCATTGAAAGTGGAAAATATAACATGGCACACGAAACACTGGAGGAAATTTCCTTTCACTGACTGTAGAGGGTTCATGGCACTGAGAGAGGGAGAGAAAGAGAGAGAGTGAGAGAGGTTGACACTTTGGCTGGCGGGTGCCGAGAAAGGAAATTGTCCCATATCCAACCACTTAATCCACGCCAAAGCTCCGCGCACAACTTATGAAAATTAAAAGAGGTGAAAGTTCTAATATTTTCACTTAGACAATTCCAGACTTAACAGGAAGATTTTTTTTCTTGCTCTGACAGTCTTATGCACTCGTCACCCCTTGGCTAATCCTCCAACATAACACGGGAAACATAGAATCGTGCTGGAGACAAAAAAGAAATCTCAAGACATAATTGAATTAAGAGCGAGACTAAGAGAAAGAGCTTCAAGCAACTTCCTTAAATGAATCACACTGTGTGTGAATTTTCAGTGAACTAGACAGGTGGAGGGTAAAAAGGCAAAGAATACAAAAATATATATATCGCTGGGGAACGAATCTGATAAATATAAATAAAACCGCAGCATTTCTTCGAGTTTCTCACCGTAATTGGCCAAGTAGTCGCATGTATTCTTCTCTGCCATACCAATATTTCTCATCGCCACTCTTCTTCTTCCACCAAACCAACCACTGAGTATATCAATTATTTCTCTTATATTATTTGCAATTTATTCGCGAACAGCACGAGAGATTGTCGAGAGATGTGGCGAAGTAAAAAACAACCCGTAAACCTTGAATCTGTGTCTCATTCTTCGCGGGTTCTGCAGCTCTCCTGTTGTGTCCGCTGGAGGAGCGATATATACCAATTGCAGTAAAATTCACATATTCAAGAAGTGCACATCGTCCAAGCATTGAAGTTCTATGTTTCTGTCCAATGTCTGTCCTGTTATGGAAGAAATTGTCTGCCAGAAAACCTCTTAAATGTCTTTAAAAAATATGAAAAACTTCGATATTTCACTCAATAACGAGATATAATGAGTAAGATCTGTATACAATATTGTTTGACATTCTCATTATGTGTACAGATTTCAGTATTAAAGTTTTGATTTGAGTACAAAATCTTACTTTTTAATTTCATTACGCACAGACTTAAGAATATAAAATTTAAATAGTGCGATATAATAAGGTAGAAACGCATTTAGAAGCCACAAGAAAACCTGAAAATTCTATTTTCATGCCAAGAGAAGAAATAATCTAGTTTTATTTTAGATTTTCTGCACTCTTCTTTATTATAGAACGATGATGTGAAGTTTATTCTCTTGATAAACTCCTGCATTTTATTTTTCTTCTTTCTGTGATGAGAAAAAAAACAATGACTTTTCCATAACGAGATAATTTGGTAGCAAATGAGAGAGACGAATACCGAAAAAAAAGCACCAACTCAATTCTACTAGAATTCACAGTTTCTGGTAGAATGATTGACCTCCTTCACGCTATATGTATGATTTCCACAATATTTGCTTTATTGTTAAAATTGTCATGTCAAATGGGCCACTTTTCGCGCTCGCGCGCGTGACTCACTGGATGGCAACATTCTGACTTTTCAACAACACTGCATATTCACCATGTGCCCGCCCCTCCCCCACCTTTGGTCGATTTAGTGGGATGTTGGAAAATCAACTGTTCGAAAAACGGTCATATTGAAATTTCTCTGGTTGCCCAATCGTTGGATATAGCACTAAAGCCACAAGACAAAGAAATTGGAGATAGAGAGAGCATTGGCCTGTCCGTATTAGCAAAAAACACAAACACCATCGTAAACACCGATGCAGTTCTGTGGTCGTTTGGATTAACATTTCTGGGTCACGAGAAGGTACAATAGTGACATTAATTGATGTCTATTAATTATAGTGAATGGTTCATTTAATTCGGTTTCATGTTGTATCGTTAGCATTAGTATCTTTTTATACATACATACGTCTTCTGCACCCAGAGAGAGATTTCTTCGATAAAAGGCACAAGAGAGCGCACACAAAATTATTGTCATTATTTGCAAATTTATCCATCAAAACAATCTCTAAGCCCAGAGGATGGGGAGGTCATACAAGAGGAAGTCCCAGGAAATCTGACCAGGAGAATCAGTGCGCTAGTTAAAGTCGTGCCATTTGAAATAAACAAACACTTATGCTATTTTCTCACTCGCTCATTTTCTCTAGCCATTGCACGATGTGTGCCTCTTTTTTCAACTTGTCCTCTTCCACTGCCTCCTCACTTGCTCCACACTTTTTCACTTATACATATAATAATATATGAGAATATTGTACAACAGTGTGGATTCAGAGTGTTGTAAAGCTTGGGAGGTGAATAACCTCCCCATATAGCTCTCTTAACCAACAACAACAGAAGCAGCACATCGTCGCCGACGTCCAATGTAACATACTCTCGCAAACATACATTTGCTCGCTTTTTATTATATGTGCAAAACTCCACAGAAAATATACACATAAACATACGAAAGGCAAAAGAGAGATGCTGTTTTTTGTACACAGAAAAAGTGCACATAAATGTAAATGATGTTTATCAATTAGTAATCAAACTTTTTGGGTCAACTTCTTTCATCTGTCGCATTTATTAGAACAAAAAACTTATTCCAAGACACATATGTAAAATTATCCATGGAAAATGTCAAAGGACGAAGGATTGAAAAGATTCCTAATGATCAAAATCGTCTTCAAGTAGGAGTTTTTATATGTATGTATTAATGTATCTATATATGAATAACTATAAGTTCAGATCCATTGTCTAGGTTAGATTTAAATTCTTCTTTCCTCTGCCAGTTTTGATATCAGACTAGAGTCGTTCAGAAGAACCTTACATAGGAAGAACCATAAAAACCATATGAACGGCAGGAATGAAACAGGCGTTCGTTTCTCTCTCTCTCTCTCTCTCTCTCTCTCTCTCTCTCTCTCTCTCTCTTTCTCACTCTCTCTATGATATAAGAGAAAATGTCTTGAAATAAACTTAGTATCTTGGTTTGCTTCAACCATACTTAGATTATGGAACCTTGCTCTTTTTGCTTTCTTCTCATAACGATGCGTTTTGCATGTCACTTTTTTCACACTTATACTGTTTTTTCCCTGATTTTCATATGAATTCGACTCACCTATCCGTTATCTCAATGTGTCTGATTGTCCAATTCTTTTTTTTTTTTTTGTTTGATCATTTAATTAACTTGCTTTGCTCTTTTCTTAGCTATGTGGAGATGCCTTGTCTAAAATGGTTTTGCTTTTAATTTCTTCTTATTTCTCATATTTAACTCTTAAGCTACCATAAATATCTTTGTTTTGATGTAGTGAAATTAGGATGCTTAATTTTTTATTACAAACTGCAGTTTGTCTAAAATATTTTAGTACTCAGATTGACAACAATATTTTGTAGTTAAAATGAAATGATACAATGTTTTCGTCTATATTTTTTCCTATCTTGTTTACCATCATTGTTCCTCGATTTTAATTAAATGCAAGAAATCGTCCGTGAATGTTTACAAAATAGATAGATTTCCAATCATTTGACTTCTTCACTCTTTCCAATATTTCCAACCCACCAAAGACATTCCAAGAACTTCACCCAATTTTTCCCCTTGTTTTTCTTCGTTGGCTATATCGGCCAAGAAGATGGGAACAATTGATGGATTTGTATTCGAATGTGTTGTATGAAAAGCCCCTGTGAATTACAATCAATTTTATTCACTTATGTGTGTTTGTGTGTTGAATTACAATGGATAAAAACAGCAATGTTTATGTGAAGAAGAGATCGCGCACTGAGTGAAAGAGGAAAGAAGGAAGAAACTATTTTTCTTTGTCTCACCAGAAAACAATTCAATAGGGAGATGGATAAATTGTAGGGTAATTTTATTGTATATTGAATATTTTTAGTTTATACTTTCTTGTGCTTCTCGTTCGATGTTCTTCTGCACTATTGGAGGAAGAAAAAAGGGCGTTGGGTTTAGCACTTTTAGGGCATTTTTGTGTGTTTCTCTTTTTGGCAATTTCTCTCGGCTTTCGGGGTTCTTTGGGGAATTGTGACGATTGCGAGTGTTGTTTTCCACAAGCATTCCATGCATATGCATTATAGGTAGAGTGACGAGGGTGCGGACAAAAGTTTTAATTGCAATAGAGAGAGAGACTCTGTCAGAGAACCCCTTTAAAATGCATTATTAGTTGTATGTTTGTCAACTAGTTGGAAGTCTCTGCAAAACAGGGTGCTAAATGGGTTGATTTTGCACGTAAAGAATCATGCTTCTCTCCATGGCACTAAAAAGCTTCAATTGGTGTGGTTTTGAGTTTGAAGCATTGGACAGAATTTAAACCATTCCTAATACGAATTTGGTGTGCAAGTTGTGAGAAATTACCATTAAATTATGGCTCAAAATTCACATTGAATTTTATTTATAACATAGGAGGGAATATGTGTGAAGTCACTTTGGTTCTGTGTGTGTGTGTATAAACTTTTCTCGAAAATGTGGAACATTAATTTAATAACAGTGGCGAGGAATTCTAAAATCGGGATGAGGAGAAAATTTTGATGAAATGCGCGCTACTGTTGAAATATTTTATATGCCTTCTCTCCGCACGCATATACAGATAATGTTATAATTTAGGTGTGCTCTTAATTGACTCAGCAAATAAATATATAATGTATTTCACAAATGCTCCACTGCACATTATCTATTGATGGTAATTTATCAACAATTTTTTCACCTTGTTTATTTGTTTATAATTTCAGAACGACGCACAACGAGTTGGAGAAAAACAGGTATGTTCACATAGTATTTATCAATATACCAAATAATTAAGTTTCCTCACACTCTGCAATGGATATTGAGTTATTTTTCCTCATCATCTTCCACGAGAAGAGGGTGAGTGTTGTTTTTAACAACAACAGTATAAAAGTTGATGTCTTACTCGATAATAATCTCAGCCGAGAGGGAAAAGTTTAGAAGTGTGGGGAAAGAGTGTCAGGTTTGCTCAAAGGGTGAATGGAAAATCCCAAGTGTTTTCGTTCCCACACGCCTCAGTGTCTGTCCTTATTATGAATATTTTATAAATATTAATAATCGATAAAATTGCATATTTTACCATGCCTCAGTACATAATTTAGGGTAATTAGTTAGCGGAAAAGTGCCAAATGAATCTGCTGCATTATTTATGGGTCTCTGGTATTTTCCAGTCGCCTAGCCTCTGCGGTTGACTCTCCTTTCTATGACATTATTCATTGATTTTGTGTGAAAGGATCATAATAATGAAAAATAATGCCTTCTGACGTTCTTCATGGTGGATTTTCCTTGCGCTGTTTTCCAAGGATATACCTGCTACATTAAATTAGAAATTCTATTCAATACCATAAAAGAAGTGGCGTAGGTCAAACAGTTTATATGCTTCCTATAGTTATGTTATTACCAGAGAAATTTATTTTTTCGGATGTGTCCGAAAAAATAATATTCAGGAGTCACCAAAGTTGTCCGTCGATGATGAAATTGCTTGTTTAGCCAAAAATTTCATGTAATTACAAAAATTGCTTGGTTTCTCAGTAGCTTCGCTGTTTTAACATTAAGTTGCAGTGTTGAGTTTTCATGTGAATTAATTTTATACTCAACAAAATAGCACAGCTCATGTTGCAGTAATTCCAAACAGTGAGCTTTTGAGTGTTCACATACATTATATATTTAAGCTCTATGTTCTTAGTATCGGAATCCATTTTGGGAAAATGGGAGATTGTCAAGTGTTTGCTCGCTGTGTCGCGTAAGTGATGACAATCAATCCACGAAATTGTTTTTCGCACAATACAATTCCCTGAGTTGGGAAGGCGTACATGTAGCGATGACTCCTTAAGTCACAATAATGGTAATTTCCTCAAGAGTTTGCTCGGATGAAATTCCCATGTGAATGCTGAAGAGTGGTGAAGACTTTTGTGTATAGTGAAAATACGTGAAGTTGGAATTTTGTGTCTGCCACATTCTGTAACAATTAATTTTGAAATTGACGTCACCTCAATTCAACCTTTTCTGGAGTGGTGTGCTATGTATGCCCTGGATATATTGAATTGGGTTATATGATGTATCTGCTGTCTCTGTTTCTCAGTCGTGGGCGCTCCTAATGGAGTGTAGCGTGGAGAAGGGAAGAAATTTGAGAAGATATCAAGTTGTTGAGTAATATAATTTTCTTCATTTGCTTGCCTTTTCCCTTCTCCTCGGGTACTTTTCCATTTTCCACTATACCCAAGAGCTTGGGTTTGGGTGATTTTGCAAAGTTGAGGCTCAAAATCACCCCCATCGTGTTACCGTCATTAGCATTGATGACGACAAAGGGAAATGATTTCGTTGTGTGCTAAAATGTCTCAATTATGTGTATGTGTATATAGACACATTTTAACAAATAATTGATCAATGCTCGAGCCGAGTGTGTGCAGTGAAATGGGACAAAAATAGCCTTCACTGGAAACTCTTTGACTTGCATGAGCCAACATTGTGTTATGTAATTAATTGAAATATTGTTTAATTCCTATGGAACAAATTGTTGCAATACGCACAAAATTGGGTAATCATTAGTTTGCACCGGGAGAATATATTGTTTCCAGTTCCGGCGGATGAATTTGGGAAGCGGGAGACTTTTTTTTTGCTGATTGGACCTGTGTTTGATGTGCACAAATTCCCTCCCAGGACAATTATTGAGCCAATTAAGGGGGATGAAAAATATATGATTTTGTACAGTGAAAATAGAATTCTGTCTGGAAAGTGTGGTGCATTTCACTCTTTGTTATAATTATAAATTGTGTATCCCTCATTTCATCGCGGTCTAATATTTTCACATAGCTTGGAGTGCGTGCGTTTGGCATTCTCTTTTTCAAACCAATTTTCAGACTTCATTTTTCTTCTCGTCCTTTTCATTCTTAATTTGTTAATTTTCTAATTATGATAATGGGGTTGAAAATGAACACGAAGAGCGCGACTGCGAAGCGCAAGAATTAAAAGTTTTTATTACCGTCACAATGAATGTTTCATTATGGAGATGAAATATTTTCTTCCTTTTGTGTGTGACACTCATAATGCCTCTTCGTTGTGGGTGGTTTTGAAATTCATTTCATTTTGATTCGTGTGAGAAAAAGTCCGCGGGTGTGACGCGAGGGAGAGTTGAGCTAAATGCGAAAAGGGGGATGATATTTCGCCTCTGCTTCGCACCCCACATAGCCATGGTGGATGGATATATAAATTCATTTGTGAGCACAATGGATATTGCTATCACATAATCTCTGTCTTTAATTTTGAGAAACAGAAAGGGATATTTTTTCAGCTATGTGTCGAAAAAATAAGAATATTTGCTTTTATTTACGGAATTTTTATGGAAAGGTCTACAAATAGAACAAATTTCCATTCCTTCTTTCTATATCGCTTGCATTTCTTTACATTTATGTCAATATCTGTTATTCTAAAAGAGAGTTTTTTGACGCAATTTTCTGACACATTCTACAATTTCTTGAATTATCTTTAATAGGATTAATCCACTGTTAAGAATCGCCATTGCTTACTATTGTTTGATGTATTCTTGCGATTGAATTTTCTCCCAGCTCATCATCTTATCAGCATCATCTTAATTTAGTTCAATTATTTAATAAGGCAAACTTTATTACCACTTTTTGCGGATTGTGTGCCTGTGAGTGGTAGATTTTGGAGTTCTCCTAGACGTGGAGGAGTGGACAGAAGTTACTGCTGAAGTGTGGGGAGAAAATGTTATGGTGGAAATAAGCAATAAAGTAGGATATTTTGATCCACGCATACACATATGAATTAAATCCAATTTAAATGCACATCAACTTTGTGACCAAAAGTTTATTAAGCCTTTATATGTATGTTTAATACCTTCTCTTTCTCTCTCTTTCCATACGTTCAATGAGCATTTGCTCCAGGTACAAAGCAAAACACGGCAACTATGGCACAATTCTGTACTCCTCTATTGTCTCCTGTTGCGGTCGTGAATAGGGGTGGCTTGTTATTACTGGACGGATTAATATTAATGCAGGCATTGTGAACTATGCCCATTTTCATCTAATTGAAAGGGGGTTTTAGACTTCACCATATGTCCAAGTTTTGAGTGCGAGAGAGAAAAGTCATGTGCAATACTTTGCTAAGCAATATGCTTGCGATGTTTGTACTTAGAAATGTGCGTTTTTATATCCAACAGTTCTTAAAGGCTGCTGCGTGCGTGCGAATAGTGGATGTGTGAGGCCCCTTGAAGGAATGTTCGTATGGGAGAAAATAAAAAAAATTCATTCAATCGTGAAAATTGCTCGAAAATCACGTATGCGGCTTTTCTTTTCGTTTGCCAACTTCGCATGGTATTTGTGGTACTGTATCTCCACCGGTTGTACATTTATTGCAATATTTTCTCGTACAATTTTTCATTCACTTGCAAATCTGTGTATACATAACATTGTTACTTTCAAGGTTTTTTTTTCATTCCTGACAGAGTGGTTTTTTTTCGTATATCAACCAACAATTCCACTCATCGATGACGCTTTACTTGAAAAACTTTCATCTATACATGATGATTTGATCGGAGAGAATATTTAATTTTTGTAGATGATGAACCGCGTTGATTTTTTATACTTCCTCAAGCTTCTTCATCCGCATCGTCATCTTGGCTATTCTTGTTGGCAAGAAGGATGAAAAAACTTCAAGGAGCGGAATTTTCAAGAGATGACAAAGATACAGGAAAGTTGAAGGAAAAACGATATGTATATATATAATCGATGAGGAGCCGAAAGCATTGAAGAAGATAAAATATGTTGGGAATCTCGTTGAGTCGTTTGGGGGCAGCCAAGGGGTGATATTCACGAAATAAGAGGCCGTAGGGCGAGGGCGATGAGAGCAGGAGAGTAGAAAAAATAATGGAAAATTTGCTATATTGTTACAATTCACAGATCATTAAACAAATTCGATTTATGTACGCTCCTGCCATTGTATATTTATGTATAAATGATTTTTCTATACACAACTTCTTCGATGATTTCTTACACACACTTTGCGTCTTCGGTCTCCCTTTGGCATTGGCATCATGCTATTATTGTCACTATATTAACTAAAAAAATATATCGCGCAAACAGCCTTTCCAACTCATCGTCGTGCTGGGAAAATGTGAATATAATAGGAGAGAAGAAATGGTGCATACTTTACATATTTGAGGAAGACTCGCAATTTTAGAATCTTGGCTTCATTAGACGAAACAATACATATATAAAGTAATTGTGACTCTTTTTGTGCGTCTCTATATGTTGCAAGACAAGAGAAAAATTGTGGCGCATTGTGCAATAGTAGAGGCGTGTAGAAACACGTGATTTTCAGTGGAAAAGTTTACATTGCGAATGAGAGAGCACGCTGAAAGAGAATAGAGAGACTAATGATACAATAAAATTAAAAACAGAAACATAATTCCGATGAATCAATTACACGGACATGAACGTCATGTAATTTTAAAGTCTAGACTTGTGTACGATTAAATTGTGCTTCAAGATGTGCTTCTCAAGAAACTGTACGCATAAAATGTTGACGTGTTGGCGAGGGTGCGAATCAGCTGAGATTTTCACTGAATACAAACTATGTATTATGCTTAAATATAACAATATACGATTTTTTTTTTGAAAATTCGTATCGTTAAATCAATATCCGTTAGTTAAATTACATTATTGGATATAGTTTGTTGTTTGAAGTCAGAACATAAGGTAAAAAATTTACCTTAATTCCACTTTTATGGGCAGAACAA